CCCTCTGGGCTCAGGGACCACCCCTCTGTGCCCTCTGTCCCAGGGGTGCCTTGTGGGACATTCACCTTCCAGTGTGAGGACCGCAGCTGTGTGAAGAAGCCCAACCCCCAGTGTGATGGGCTGCCCGACTGTAGGGACAGCTCGGACGAACAGAGTTGTGGTGAGCCTGCCACCCCAGCCCCTCCACCTGGCCCACCTGCCCCTCGACCTGCCCACCGGCCCCTTCACCCAGCCCAGCTGCCCCTCCACCCGGCTTAGCTGCCCCTCCACCTGCCCACCGCCCCCTCCACCTGCCCACCGGCCCCTCCACCAGGCCCAGCTGCCCCTCCACCTGCCACCCCAGCCCTTCCACCTGGCCCAGCTGGCCCTCCACCTGTCCACCGGCCCCTCCACCTCAATCAGTTATCCCTTCACCTGCCCATTGGCTCCTCCACCCAGCCCAGCTGTCCCTCCACCTGCCACCCCAGCCCCTCCACCCTGCCCAGATGCCCCAGGGCTCAGAGCAGGACAGGGGTCCCCTTCCACCTGCAGGGAGGGAGGGAGGTGCCCACACTGGAAAGCTGGAGGGGGAAATCTAACCGTTCATCCATCTGTCTCTATTCTGCCTCTCTGCCCCCTCATCTTGGGCTTATCTCCCTCTCTCTGTCTTCATTCTTCCTGTTTCTCTCCATCTTTCCTTTGCTTTCTCTCTCTCTCCCCTCCCTTTTTTTATCTTTCTCTCTCTGTCCGTTTCTCATTGGCCTCTCTCTCTCCTCTCTTCCTCTGTCCCTCCTTCCCTCCTTGTCCCCCCTCCAATCAGACTGTGGCCTCCAGGCCCCCTCCAGTCGCATTGTGGGTGGGGCCGTGTCCTCGGAGGGTGAGTGGCCGTGGCAGGCCAGCCTACAGGTTCGGGGCCGACACATCTGCGGGGGGGCCCTCATCGCTGACCGCTGGGTGATAACGGCTGCCCACTGCTTCCAGGAGGACAGGTGAGGGCAGGTGTGGGGTCTTGGGCGATGGGTGGAGATGGCCATGGCAGGATGCCTGGCATGCCCAGTGTCTGAGCTCTGAGCAGACAGAGGCGTGTGGTGGAAGCCCTGGATGGCTGTTGGGACACTTGGCGTCTCGTCCCGGCTCAACTACGAACCCACTCTGTGCCCCTGGGCAGTCTGCTCAGCCATCCCACACTCTGCTTTGGGCATCCTTCTTCAGGCTGGGTCCATGATTCATTCATTCATTCACTCGTTCATCCCTTCAGCAGTATGTGTTGTGCTCCCAGTGGGCGCTAGGGTCTGCACTAGTCGCTGGGGATACAGTAGAGGACAAAATGGACAAAAATTCCTGCCCGACCTGTGTTATGAGCCATGCCACCCCCTCCCCAAGGTGTGACTGGGGCTGCGCCTGGTGGTGGGCGGGGCTGGGAGGCCCTGAGGAACGGACATCTCTTCCTGCCTGTTGGCCATCTGCCCCATCTGCATGGTGGGCTGACATGGCCCGCTCTCACCCCAGCCAGATCTCTGGGCCCCAGCCCTCTCCCTCATCATGGCCAGCCCTGGACTCTTCCTCTCCCCACCTCCTCCTTCACCCTGGGTCCTGGCCGGGGATGTAGTCTCCTCAGCCCAAGGCGCAGGACACGCTCTTCTCCCCTTACACCTAGAGTCAGGCAGCATGGCCTCTCCATACCCCAGCTAATCCCCAGCTGCTGTCGAGTCCGCACTTCCACCATCACCTGGATCACTCTGGTGGCCCACAGGCCACTCCCTTTTGCATCCTCTGCC